ATAATAAAAAAATAAAAACAGTCAAGGTAATTCATCACATTAACAAAGCAAAGAACAAATTATTCAAGAGACAATTGGATTGTGAGCAAATTGTGAGCAATTTGAACAGTTGTGAATCAATTGTGAGCAAATTATTCAAGAGACTGGAATTTATGAAGATGAATGTGGCATTAGGATCACAAGATAAAAGCGAAGAAGACTTGAAACACTTGCTGCAGTAGATCAGACTGTTGTTGTGTACCCTCAAGTTGGAACCATACCATAGGTGACCCCACCCCCAGCGGGTTTTCAGAGTCAGTTGATGAATTGAAAGGAGATTGCCCAGCCTCCCAGAGAGCAGCTGGTGCATTCGAACCATGTGCCTTTGGGATTGCAGCACAGCTTTTTATCGCAGGCTTCAATATAAATTACATATCAACATCAAAAAGACAAAAATCTTTACCAGTGAGCAAATAAACAATATTATGCTAGATAGAGAGAAGATTGAAGGTGTCAAAAACTTTATCTTGCTTGAATCCATGACCATCACCTTTGGTATCAATTGTCAAGAAATCAAAAGCTATGTGGCATTGGTTAAATTTGCTGTGCAGGATCTCTCCAAGGCATTAATAAGCAATGATGTCAGTTTAAAGTCCAAGTTGATTCAAACCACAGTTTTTTCAATTGCCTGCTTCTTCTTGTGAGGTGCCATTGTGTCGAGTATGACTCATAGCAAACCTATGAATAAAAGATCTGAAACTAGTCCTGTCCTGCACCATCTTCACACTTCCTGACACACAAGAGCCCATTGCAGCAATCATCTTGTCTATCCACATAGTTGAAGGTCTTCCTCTTCTTTGTCAACCCTCCACCCTTTCCAACATCATGTCCCTCTCCAAGGAATAGTGTCTCCTAGCAATATGTCCAAAGTATGTTAGGCAAAGCCTCATTATTCTTGCCTCCAAAGAGCACTCTGACTGCACCCTCTCCGAGACATATAATTTCATTTTCTTAGTTGTCATTCAGTGCTCTTTTCCAATACCACAGCTTTTCTGTCATCCTTATTCATTGTCCAGGTCTAAGCTGCATAGCTAGTTATTGGAAAGACCATGGCCTGGATCAGACGCATCTTAGTCCTTAAACTGGCATAATTACTCCTTAATAATTTGGAAAGGTCACTAACTGCAGATTTTTCCCCCTGCAATGTGTATCCTTATTCCTTGACTACTGGTACCAAGGGTGTTAATTGTTAATTCAAGCAAGAGGAAGCTATTGACAGTTTCTATCTCCTTTCCATCCATCATGGCTCTGCCTATTGATCCAGTGGTAAGAATCTTTGGTTTCTCTTGATTTTGAGAAACAATACATACTGAAGGCTGCGTTCCATACAAAAATTGAATAAGGATGTTATTGTTGTTCCTGTTAGGTGCCATCGAATTGAGTATGACTTATAGCCACCCAAGAACAAAAGACCTGAACCCTGTTCCGTCCTGTGCCATCCTCACACTACCTGAAACACGAGAACCCATTGTGACAGTCACCGTGTCAATCTACCTGTTCTCCTTCCCTAACCCTCAACCCTTCCAAGCAACATGTTCTTCTCCAAGGAATAGCCCCTCCTAGCAACATGACCAACGTATGTGAGGTGAATCCTGATCATTCTTGCCTCCAAAGAGCACTCTGGTTGCACCCTCTCCAAGACATATACGTATGTTCTCTTAGCTCAAAGGCATAAATTCTTTTTTATGTCGCCCTTATTCATTGTCCAGATCTCAGATGCATAGCAAGTAATTGGAAAAACTATGGCCTGAATCAGACACAGATTAGTCCTCAAACTGACATCATTACTCTCCAATGATTTGGAGAGGTTCCTAACTGCATATTTTCCTAGGGAAAAGCATCTCCTTATTTCCTGACTGGTGGTACTGTTAATTGTTAATCCAAACAATAGAATGATTGAATTTTGTATTTACAATGATTTATTCATTGCAAATATGCATTTTAAAAGACACAATGATGACTTTTCACATGGATCTCACCTGGTGGGTTGCATAGGAATCAGACTGACCACATTTGTGGAAGAAATCATTGGAGAAGTTTAATACAGGAAGTCAAGACTGGGCCAGGTATGGAGAAATCATCAATTACTAACATACAAGTTCAAAGTGAGGCTGAAGAAAATGAATATAAGCTCACAAGGAACCAAGATATGATCTTGAATCAATTCCATCTGAATTTCAAGATCATCTTGGGGATAAGTTTGAGGCATTGAACACCAATGATGACCAGATAAGTAAGGATGGCAGAAGAAGTGATATCTTTGAGCCATAATGTTGAAGAAGAATACCGAATATTAAGAGTATATGAATTGCAATAGGAAAAATAAATATGTCTTTGAGAAATTGCAACCTGGGTGCTCTGTAGAGGGAAGGATGGTGAAACTTCTCGCATGTTTTGAGGAGGATTTTAGGAGGAATTAGTCCTTGGAAGGGGACATCATGCTGGAAAAGGTGCAATGTGAGTGAAAGATAAGAAGATCCTCAACAAGACGGAGTGACACAGTGATTGTAACAATAAGCTCAAATATACCAAAGGAAGATAGCACAAGGAAGATAGCACAAGATGGAGCAAGTTTCAGATCCGTTATTTAAAAGGTCACTATGAATCAGTTTATTTGAGCCCTGATTGAATAGCTTGTAAGGTATCATGCTGCAAAACTAAAGGCCAGTGGTTTGAATCCACCAACAACTCTGTGAGAGAAAGATAGCCAGTCTATTCCCATAAAGATTTACATCCTCAGAACTGTGATAGAGGGTTGCAGCTCAAAAGAAGTGGGTTGCTTGTTTGAATGATATGAGCATTTATTCATGTGTCTGCCCAGATGCCTTTGAATAAAGGATCTGGTCAAATCTGCATTTCTGCCCCCCTTTTTTATACATTGTATTTTCACATGATTTTTCATTAACATTGTGTTTCGTACAGTCATTCCTATGCATTATGTTTTATAAAAGTAATAATCGTTGGACCTTGCCCATCATTACCCTATCTTTTCAGGTCCATGCCAGATCCTTCCTATTTCCTTCACCCTCTCTCTCTCCCCACCAAATTGTGGAACCCTGTGGTTTCACCTCTACCCATCCTCACCGCTCCACTTCTCTTCCTCTTTTCTCACTTGGGTCCCCATTCATGTTGTACTGGTTATCTTTCTATTATTTTTTTAAATTATCTTATCAAGTAATTGTTCTTATGATATAGAGTTAGTTCACTCAGCATAATGCTCTCCAGTCTCTCACAAGTTATATACTACTTTTCAAAATCATTACCCTAAGTTTTGCATAGTATTCCACATAGTATTTCACATAGAATGTACCACAATTACTCAATCCATTCAGTTATGATTGGACAATTGGGCTGTTTCCATGTTTTTGCAATGGTAAACACGAGTGTACAAATCTCTATTTGTATCTTGGTTCTAACTTATTTGGGGCATGTTCCTAGTAGAAGAATAGTTGAGTCATACAGAGTTCCTAAGTTCAACTTTCTGAGGAAATGTCAAAGTGCCTTCCAGAGTTGTTATACCATTTTACAATCCCACCAACAGTGTATGAGAGTTCCCACCTATCAATATCCTATACAACATTTACTCCTTGCTGCCCTGCTAAACTTTACCACTGCTACTGGGGTAATGTGGTTTTGATTTTCATCTCTCTTACTGTCAATGATTTTTATTATTTCTTCATATGTCTGTTGTCCATCTGAATGTCTTCCTCTGTGAAAAGTATTTCCATGGCTTTTATCCATTTTGTAATTGGGCTAATAGTCTTTTCCTTATGGAGACCCTGTAGTATTATGCAAACTTCTGTTATGAATCTCAGATGCTTTTGACCAGAAGTTCTCTAAGGTGCCTACCAAGGTCAAAGGCTATGACAACCTCTTCGCCATGGAAATTGACCCCAGCCTCGGCGTGGCAGAGCTGCCCGACGAGTTCTTTGAGGAGGACAACATGCTGAGCATGGGCAAGAAGATGATGCAGGAGGCCATGAGCGCCTTCCCGGGCATCGACGAGGCCATGAGCTACGCGGAGGTCATGAGGCTGGTGAAGGGCATGAACTTCTCAGTGGTGGTGTTTGACACGGCACCTAGGGGCCACACGCTGAGGCTGCTCAACTTCCCCACCATCGTCGAGAGAGGCCTGGGCCGCCTCATGCAGATCAAGAACCAGATCAGCCCCTTCATCTCGCAGATGTGCAACATGCTGGGCCTGGGTGACATGAACGCAGACCAGCTCGCCTCCAAGCTGGAGGAGACACTGCCCGTCATCCGATCCGTCAGCGAGCAGTTCAAGGATCCCGAGCAGACCACCTTCATCTGCGTGTGCATCGCAGAGTTTCTGTCCCTGTACGAGACGGAGCGGCTGATTCAGGAGCTGGCCAAGTGCAAGATCGACACACACAATATCATCGTCAACCAGCTTGTTTTTCCGGACCCTGAGAAGCCCTGCAAGATGTGTGAGGCTCGCCACAAGATCCAGGCCAAGTACCTGGACCAGATGGAAGACCTCTATGAAGAATTCCACATCGTGAAACTGCCACTGTTGCCCCATGAAGTGCGGGGGGCAGACAAGGTCAACACTTTCTCCGCCCTCCTCCTAGAACCGTACAAGCCCCCCAGCACCCAGTAGCACCGCTGCCTGCCCCAGCTGCTGACATTTCATGCCCACCCTACAGCCCTACCCCAGGGCAGTGTTTGCACAAAGTTCCCCCCATGGTGCAGTGGGGGGCACTGGGGGGAGGGACAGGGGGTAGGGAGGGGGGCCTGTTCCCCCTGGTGGGGCTGGGGGCTACAACTGCTCCCTCACCTCTCCCCACCTCTTGCCCCTTAATAAAGGTTCTTGAACTGCAAAAACAAAACAAAACAAAAAAAACTTCTGTTATGAGACTCTTGTCTGAGATGACATTGTCAAATGTTGAGATTTTTGGTTTGGTTTGGTTTTTCATAATCAGTAAGTTTTCCTTTTACCTTATTGGAAAATGTGTTTTATGCACACAGAGATTTAAATCTTGTTGAGTTCATGGGGTTTTCTGTGTACACTGTATTATCATCTTCATTGAGCAACAGTTTAACAATCTTTCCTGATTGGGATGTCTTTTATTTCCTTTTCTTGTCATATATGGAGACTAAGGTGCACCTGATCCAAGACATAGTCTTTGCAATTACTTGCCATGCATCAGAAAGCTGGACAATGGTTATGGATGATAGAAGTAGAATTGATGCCTTTGAACTGTGGTTTTGGAAAAGAGTATTTAATATACCAATGACTGCTAGTCCTTTAGAGGGTGAGACCAGGCTGCTTCTTGGAACAAGTATTGTGATACTTCATCTGACATACTTTGGACATGTTGAAAGGCAGGACCAGTACTTGTAGAGGGATGTCTTGCTTGGGAGGGGGGAGAGGTAGTGCAAGAGAGAAAGAAGCTCAATGAGAAGGACTGATTTAGTGAGTGGGATAATGGGGGTAAGTGTGTCAAAGACAATAAGACTGGCACAGGATAGAGCAGGCTTTAGGGCTATAGTACATAGGATCATTATGGGTCACCGGCGGCTCGACAGCACATAACAGCACCACCAACAATACCTTCTCCTACTGCCCTGGCAAGTATTTATAGTACAATATTGAATAGAAGTGGTGACAGTGGGCATCCTTGTGTGGTCACTGTTTGCAAGGAAAATGCTTTTTAGTCTTTATCCATTGAGAATGATATTGGCTCCTGGTTTTGCATCTATACTTCTGACAATGTTGAGGAAATTCCCTTCTATTCCAATTTTGCTGAGGTTCTTAATCAGGAATGGGTGTTGGATTTTGTCAAATGTCTTTTCTGCATCAGTTGTTAGGACCATATGGTTTTCATTATTGGATTTGTTAATGGGGTGAATTATGCTGATTATTTTTCTTATGTTGAAGCATCCTTGCAAAACTATTATGAATCCCACTTGATCATGATTAATTATCTCTTTTATGTGCTTTTGGATTCTGTTAAGGATTTTTGTGTCTATGTTCATGAGAGATATTGGTCTGTAGTTTTCTCTCTTTTTTTGGTAATATTTTTGCCTGGTTTTGGTGTTAGGGTTATGCTTGCTTCATAGAATGTCTCTGGGAGTGGTCCTTCTTTTTCTATATTTTTTAAATAAGTAGAATGAGTGATAAACATTTTCTGAATGTTTGGTAGAATTAATCTGTGAAGCCATCTGGTCCAGGACTTTTATTCTCAGAGAGTCTTTTTATGACTTGCTCAATTTCTTCTTTTGTGATGGGTCTCTTCAAGTGTTCTATATCTGACCATGTCAATCTGGTTAGAGCGTGAGTTTCAAGGAATTTATCCAATTTCCTTTAAGTTTTCAAATTTATCCAAGTATAGCTTTTCATAATATTTAGCTATTATAGATTTAATTTCTTCTAGTTCTGTTGTGATGTCAACTCTGTCATTTCTTAATCAAGTTATTGTTGTCTTCTTTTTTTTTCCCTTTTGTTAAGTTTGTCAATGGTTTGTCAATTTTATTGACCCTTTAGAAAAATCAGCCCCTGGTCTTACTGATGATTTCAATTTTTTTTGTTGTTTTGTTTTGTTTTCTATCTCATTGGTTTCAGCTCTTAATCTTATAATTGCCTTTCTTCTAGAGGCTGTTTGGTTAGATGGTTGTTCTTCTTCTATTTTTATTTTGTTTCTTTCTTCATTTTTTATGTTTGCCTACTGCTATGAACTGCCCCCCTGAGGACTGCCTTAGCTGCATCCCAAAGATTTTGATACAGTGTATTTCACTATAATTTGTTTCAAGGAACTTTTAAAAAATTTAATTCTTTACTTCTTTTATAACTCAATCATGCTCTAGCATGGTATTAATTACCTTCCATGTTGATAGATTTATAAGCTTTATTCTATTGTGGTTGTTGTTGTTGTTGTTATGCGCCGTCGAGTCACCTGCGACTCATAGCGACCCTATGTACAACAGCCCTAAACTCCGCTTTGTCCTGTGCCAATCGCACCGTCTCTGACACTCCCATCCCAATTATCCCAGTCACTGAATCAATCCACATGATAGATGGCCTTC